CCTGGCAACCATCATTCTACTTTCTATCTCTATGAATTGACTACTCTAGGTACCTTATATAAGTTGAACCAAATAGCATTTGTCTTTTTTGACTGGTTTCTCTCAGTTGGCATAATGTTCTCAGGGTTCATCCATGTTGTAGCATGGTTGAAAATTTCCTTCCTTTTTAAGGCTGTGTAATATCCCATTATATGTGTATACCACATTTATTCATTCATCTGTTAATGGATACTTGGGTTCCTTCTACCTTTTGGCTATGGACATTGTTGTACAAATAGTTTTTGGAAAACCTGCTTTCAATTCTTTGGGATATATACCCAGAAGTGGAGTTGCTGAATTATATGATAATTGTATTTTTAAGTTTTTGAGGAACTACCATACTATTTTTCACCACAGCAGTACTTTTTTTACATCCCCCAAAGTTCTAATTTCTCCATATCTCCCCATCACTTATTTTCTTTTTTTGATAGTGGCCTTCATAATGGGCGTGAGGTGATAACTCATTGTGGTTTTTATGTGCATTTTCCTAATGCTTAGGATGTTGAGCATCTTTTCATCTGTTCATTAGTCATTTGTTTATCTTCTTTAGAGAAATGTCTATTCGATCCTTAGCTAATTTTTTTTTTTAAGATTTTTATTGGGTAATTGCGGGGATGGGAACAGTACTGGGGAATTAGGGGAAGGGGAACAGACAAGTTGCTGTCGTTTTGTTCTTCAATCTAGTTGTGGAGGACGCTNTCAGTGGCTCAGTCTATCTCTGAAGGCTGAGTCCCTTGGTCTCGCACTTAAATATTACTTCTGTCTCTGTCTCTCTTTATTCAATCTGCGTCGCCCCTCTCGTGTCCCATTTGCCCTTGCCACGCTGGACGTGACAGCTCTCCTTATAGTGCTTCTCAACCTGAGATATACTCATTTGGTAAAAACAGGCTTTGTCCTCATTAGTCACTTGTCACCCTATGCAAAGGGACATATGAACCAACCTTACTATCAGTTGGTGCAAACGTAATTGTGGTTTTTGTGTTGTTGAAATATGCCTTTGATATTAGAATACACTTTTCAATAAATGTGGTTATGTTATACATCATTTTAATGCGCATTTCTTGCTTTATGGTTCTTTTTGCTAATGGCTTATTACTTGCTGTTTATTTTATATGTGTTTTAGACTTGGAAATGATGTTACACAACAAGCAAATTCGAGCGATTTTATTATTCGCATTCAAAATGTGTAGTAAAGCTGCGGAGACAACTCACAACATCAACAACGCATTTGGCCCACGAACTGCTAATGATCGTACAGTGCAGTGGTGGTTCAAGAAGTTTTGCAAAGGAGACAAGAGCCTTGAAGATGAGGAGCGTAGTGGCTGGCCATCGGAAGTTGACAACGACCAATTGAGAGCAATCATCGAAGCTGATCCTCTTACAACTACACGAGAAGTTGCCGAAGAACTCAACATTGACCATTCTATGGTTGTTTGGCATTTGAAGCAAATTGGGAAGGTGAATAAGCTCAATAAGTGGGCGCCTCATGAGCTGACTGCAAATCAAAATAAATGTCGTTTTGAAACGTCGTCTTCTCTCATTCTATGCAACAACAAACCATTTCTTGATTGGATTGTGACGTGAGACAAAAAGTGGATTGTATACGACAACTGGCGATGACCAGGTCAGTGGTTGGACCTAGAAGAAGCTCCAAAGCCCTTCCCAAAGCCAAACTTGCACCCAAAAAAAGGTCATGGTTACTGTTTGGTGATCTGCTGCTGGTCTGATCCACTATGGCTTTCTGATTCCCAGTGAAACCGTTACATCTGAGAAGTATGATCAGCAAATCAATAAGGCAACAAAAACTGCAACGCCTGCAGTCAACATATTGGTCAACATAAAGGGCCCAATTCTTCTCCACGACAACACCTGACCACATGTCGCACAAGCAACGCTTCAAAAGTTGAATGAATTGGGCTACAAAGTTTTGCCTCATCCACCATATTCACCTGACCTCTCATCAACTGACTACCACTTCTTCAAGCATCTCGACAAGTTATTGCAGGGAAAATGCTTCCACAACCAGCAGGATGCAGAAAATGCTTTCCAAGAGCTTGTCGAATCCCGAAGCATGGATTTTTATGCTACAGAAAGAAACAAACTAATTTCTCATTGGCAAAAATGTGTTGATTGTAATGGTTCCTATTTTGATTAAAAAGATGTGTTTGAGCCTAGTTATAATGACTTAAAATTCACAGTCTGAAACCTCAATTGCTTTTGCACCAACTTGGTAAAAGGAGACAGTCTGCGTTATTATCAAAGACTTATCAACCAACTTAAAGAAATTGATAAGTTAGTAACTGATCCAGCTCAGTCAGTTCCCGGGAGACAAAGACTTCAAAGACCATGACTCACAACCTGGAGATTTTGTCCATTGGAGAAGATATCAATTAAAGACTCTCCAACCCTGTCAGAAAGGACCTATCAGTGGACATCAGAGACTCCTCAGGGATGAGAAGCTGCCGACATCAGGGTAAGACAGCTAGCCCAAGACATTGAAAAGGCCTTTATATCTACATAATTGATACTGAACTTAAAATTACCATTTGTTTTATTGTCTTCACCTCTCTGATAATATTAGTCATAATGATAGTTATACTTTTTCTTTAGGCTTTTCTCAAACTCTGCACTTATATAGCCCAACTGTAAATAATTGCTGAAGGTATATAAGATAACTTATATTATCAATAATACTATTTTTATGGTTTCTCTTTTGAAATTTAGAAAGAATATTATTGTTGAAGGAAGAAGAGGGATGTGTGGTGTGTGTGTGTTTGAGATAAGTTAAAAGAAAGTAGTTTGTCCTAATAAGTTAATTATTTCGGAATGAGGAAAAGGAGACAAACTGAGAAGGACATGTGAAGTTGTAGAAGGTTAGTGGAAAAGAAATATTGAGAAAGGAATTTTATGTATAAATGATAGAACCCAATTATGCTTACCCCCTAACTCAACAAAGATTACTAACTGCATTAACTCAGATAGAAGCTGAGGCAGCTATAAAACAAAAATGGCCTTCTATAATGGCTGTTGAGGCATAGGAAATTGACATATGAATCTCTTATTGTCCTACTGACCTCTAGAAATTTTTTAGATGGTAATTGTAACTTACATCATTGTGTTCTCAAAGCCTTGGCCCCTAATAAACCTTAAAGTTACAGTTCTGCTAGTACAACTAGCAGAAATCAGATTAATAATGAATGACACTTGAGTGCTTCCAATGGGAAGTAGATAGGCCATATTAAAACAATAATAGTAATAATAATAATAACAATAATAAAAACAGTAAATGGGAACCCATCTCATAGTCAGATTGTGAAGAGGTATATGGTATGCCCTTAAACTGTAAGTAAATGTTATACGAGATGCAAAATACAAAAAAGTAACACAGACAACAAAACTTGGATCATGATACCTTATAAGTTAGAAATGATCCAGTGTGTTTTTTACTTAGTGAAGGCACATAAGAGTGCATTCTCTGTATTGATTTACGACCACAGTGGGGAAGTATGGACAAAAAAGGGGCCACACACTAAACCTGACAAGCTCATGGCAGGCCCTACAAACTCAAAGACTAAAATTAACCACATAGGATGGTCTGAACATAAAAATTCCTAACTAAAAGGGGTCATGGCAGGTAGTTATATCCTTGGCCTGTAGCTTCCTCAACAAAGGTGGATCTTTACCTTAAGTGAGACTGTCTATTGTCTTGTTACATCCAAAATAACATGCCCTTGGAATGTCTGAGTAATCCCTTTTTCCAGACCCCTCAGGGCACAACCCACCACACCAGAGCAGCAGACTATAAAATCCCTCATTGTTATCTTGTTCTCTGATACTACCTTTACCCGGGTTGCCAAAAAATATGTATAAACATTCTAAGAGATGTTATCTATGCAGCAGTAGTTTGCCATAATCAGAAATGTCTGGATGCTGATGGTAACCACTTTGAGCACCTCTTGTAATTGCAGAAGTCAAACGTAACTATATATTGAGTATTACAATACAATTTTAATAGAGTTTTTTCCTTTCTTAAAATGTGTATACATTTCTTGGCCTCCTCTGTATGTGCTGTAAATGTTAACTATCCTGTGCCCAATGTAAAAAAAGTGTGTGTCTCTCTGTTTTACTTTTTATCCAATCCCAGAGATTTCCCTGCTTTGCTTTCTCCTACCCCACCTTAGTCTACCACCAATGGATTTCATATAACCCTCTTCACGTCTTCTTTTATTCTAATGTACAAAATAAACTCAAAACTGCTGTTCTGTTCTCCAGAGCATTTTCTTAATCTGTTGAGATTTTGCTTCCTGGCAATTGTCGTCAGTTTGGCTCAAATAAACTCATTAAAGTTCTCCACAGGTTTGGATGCTTCTTACATCAGCAATTCTAGCTTATTGCCCTGAGTAAGAATCTTACTATTTTAATATGTTCCTAAAATTTTTATCTTTAGGATGAGGTGGGTAGCTTCAAAAGGGGGGATGGGTGGGTGATGATTCTTATAATTTGGAACAAGAAATGTTAGACCTGATCAGGGCTGGAGATCCATCTATTTGTTGAGGCAGCAGCAGGTGGGCAGAGAAGAAGGGCAGGTGAGGAGGGAGGTGAAACAGTGCATATTCCTCTCTGTGCTCAGCAAAGTTTCAGCTTTGACTTGGTGGTATGGGCTGAATGTTTGTGTCCCCCTCAAATTCATATGATGAAATCCTAACNCGTCCAGAAGCCGGCGACTGATCTGCCTCGCCCGGGAAGAGCACAATGATGGTGCCAACTTGGGCCAGTGAAGCAACGTTCTCCACAACTAGACTGAAGAACAAAAAGACAGCAACTTGTCTGTTCCCCTCCCCCCAATTCCCCAGCACTGTTCCCCTCCCCCAATTCCCCAATAAAAATCTTAAAAAAATAAAAAATAAATAAAAAATAACAGAAAGAAGAGAATTTTTTTAAAAAGAATGAACTGTTTCCCATCATAGTGGATTCTTAAGCACGTTCTCTGTGTATGCAGCATGTAGCTGGATGTCTTTTGGCATCATTAGTACATGTTTGGCATGAATAGCATACAGGTTGGTGTCTTCATTTGCCTTCTGCAAAGCACCAATAGCTACACTCTGGGAGCGCAGATCTGTTTTGAAGTCCTCAGCAATTTCTCTCCCCAGATGCTGGAAGGGAAGTTTGTGAATCAGAAGTTCAGTAGACCTCTGATAACGTCTAATTTCACGGAGTGCCACTGTACCAGGCCTGTAATAATGAGGTTTCTTCATCTCTCCAGTAGAGGGCACACTCTTGGTGGCGGTTTTTATGGCCAGTTGCTTCCTGCATGCTTTCCCATGGGTCCATTCGCAGGCAGTCTGCTTTGTATGAGCCATGGTATAGAGATCTCCTTATCTACTTCTTCGGCTGGAGCTCAGTGAGGTAGAGGTGATGCTGGCATTAGAGAATGACAGCCTCTTCCTCTGATAAGGACACCAATCCTAGTGGATTAGAATCCCACCCTTATGACCTCATTTAAGTTTTATGACCTCTCTAAAGGCCCTATCTCCAAATACAGTCCCATTGGGGTTTAAAGCATCAGCATATGAATTTTGGGGACACAGTTTTGTCCATAACACCGTATATGCAAGAGTTGATTTCTGGGCTCTCTATTCTATTCTACTGGTCTATATCTATGCCAGGCACACACACTGTTTGATGACTATAATTTTGTTACACATTTTGAAACCAAGAAGTCTGAGACTTTCAACTTTGTTCATCTTTTTTGAAATTGTTTTGGCTATTCGGGTTCCGCTGAGAATCTATATGAATTTTAAAATAGATTTTTCTGATTTTTTTTAAAGATTTTTATTAGGGAATTGGGGGGGGGGGGGGGAACAGTGCTGGGGAATTGGGGAAGGGGAACAGACAAGTTGCTGTCCTTTTGTTCTTCAGTCTAGTTGTGGAGGACGTTGCTTCACTGGCCCAAGTTGGCACCATCATTGCACTCTTCCTGGGTGAGGCAGATTAGTCACCGGCTTCTGGATGTCTGCTCACTGCAGCTGCTGGCCGCTCACACTGGCTGCTGGCTACATACAGTAGCCCATGGCAACCCACTGCAGCAGGGGCTGCTGCCTACGCCGTCGCCGGCGACTCACGGCAGTCCAGCTCCAGGTTGAGCTGTTGTTCAGCATCTTAGCTGTGGAGGGCAGTGTCACTGGCCCTCATATGTGGGATCCAAACCGGGGCCCTCTGGCATCCCAAGCCAGTTCTTAACCATCGCGCCACTCGGCCGGCCCTGATTTTTAAAAAACAGAACAAAAAATGCTGTTGGGATTCTGACAGGGATTACACTGAATTTATAGGTTACTTTAGGTACTATTGTTATCTTCACAATCTGTCTTCCAATCCATGTACACAAGACGTTTTTCCATTTGTGTGTCTTTTTAAAATACTTTCAGCAATGTTTTGTAGTTTTCAGTGTACAAGTTTTTCACCTCCTTGGTTAAATTTATTCCTAAGTATTTTATTTTTAAAAAACTTTTTTTTTTTTTTAGATTTTTTAATTTGGGAATTGAGGAAGGGGAACAGGGGAAGGGGAAGGGTGTTAGGGAATTTGGGAAAGGGAACAGCCAAGTTATTTTCCTTCAATCTTAGTTGTGGAGGGTGCAGCTAGCTCAGCTCCCAATACCAGTCGCCATCCAGCCACGCATGAGCAGCTCAGAGCAGCTCAGCTCAAGGTGCTGTGTTCAATCTTAGTTGCAGGGGGGGCGTAGCCCACCACCACATGCAGCAGCTGAACCAGCAACCTTGTTGTTAGGAGCACGTGCTCTCAGCAGCTGAGCCATCCTGCCACCTGTTGGCAGCTCAGTGGCAGCTCAGCTCAGGCGCACCTCACTGGCCTATGTGGGGTCGAACCAACGACACTGTTGCTCAGAGCTCCTGCACTTAACCAACTGAGCCACTTGGCTGCCCTACAAAAAATTTTTTATAAGAGCTTATTTGAGCCAAACTGATGACATATGCCAAAGAGCAAGATCTCAAATGTTCCCAAGAATAACAGTTTGCAGCTTCTTTTATGCATTTGAAATTAAGGAGGGAACATAAGGAAGATTACATGGAGGTGGGAGAAAGCAAGGCGGGGATTGGATTACAGGATATTAACAAAATTATATGCTCTCTTTAGGGTGGTTACAGATTACAAAGACACTTTAAACTACATGCACAGAAACCATTGACAGGGCTTGCTTAAGGCAAAGATAAACCTTTTACTAAAGAAGTTATAGGCCTGGGGTGTGACTACCCACCATGAACTGCCCAGTTAGGGATTTATATCAGGCCGTCCTGTGAGGTTACTTTCCCTAAACCCCTTTTTTGTTCACAGTTCCACCTTTTGGTCATAAATCAATCCGAAAAATACATTGGTGACCAACCTGTTGTTCGGACAGTGTGATCTCACAATGTTATTTCTAGAATTTTTCCTATGTTCATTTCTAGGAAGTCTCAGTATTGACATCATGTTGTTGACCATTGTGGATAGAATAATACTGTAACCATGGGATCTGGGTTCTGGTCAAATTTTTTCCCCAAAAGGGGAAAGGCTGATAAATGGAAAGCTGTCAGGCCTTATGGCCCTCATTGTGAAAGGTCTTATCACCTTCATTGTGAAAAAACACTCTGGATCATGTCTATCCTATGAAGTATCATGACTCGACTTTTGCATTCTGCCTCAATTTTCTGTATTTGGCATCTAGTATTACATTTACATAAACCATGAAAAGAGTATTAACAGTTATCTTATAAATGTTTGGTAATCATAAACACCTGGACTATATAGAAAAACCCAAAGAATAAGTATAACTATTATTATGACAAATATCATTAGCAGATAAGTAAAGACAATCAAACAAAATGTTGAGTTCCCTATCAATTCATAGAAATATAGGCCTTGTCAATGTCTTGGGATAGTTGTCTACCTCCGATGTTGGCAGCTTCTCATTCTTGAGGAGTCTTTGATATCCATAGACAGGGATAGATGTCCACTTGCAGTTAGGCACCTGAGAAGGTCCCTTCCAATGAGGTTGGAGCATTTCTTGTATTTGATGTTCTTTCCAATAAGCAAAATCTCCAGGTGGCAGTCAGACATCTTTAAAATCTCTGTCTCCTGGGAGCTCACTGTAAAAGGAAGCAGTTACCAACTTGGCATTTTCTTGAAGTGAATCTATCAAACCTTGGCAATAGTGTAAGATGCCTCATTTCAATAATGTCAGCTCATCAGTCCCTTCATCTATTGGGTTGTCGGAAAAGTCATAACGTATTTTTTCTGTTTTCTATGCAAATATGTGTCATAATTTTACTGACAACCCAATACGTCCAGCTAAATGCACTATGATACATGAAGAAATGCAAAAACTAAAAAAAATGGAGAGCCAGGAAGCAGGGAAGAGCCAAGCAGCCATCTTAGGTTTCCCATAGCCCCAACTACTTGTTTAATTTACAACCAGTGTTTCTTACGTTGACATTTACCTGGCATAATCAGCAGGTTTCTGAAGTAGCCCACCCAGGACCACCCTGCGGACCCGAACCTGGTGTTACGTACAAGCAAGGGCCCATTGTGGTACACCAGCTCCCCACTTCACATCAGGTGAACTTGGGTAAGTTTCTCTTGGAATTCATGGGATCCTTGCTGTAAATATCAGCCCATGACTTTATTTGAGCTGTTCTTAGAAAATCCTCAAGATGGTTAAGTGTTGAGATAACCCAGGAAAAGGGGAAAAAAATGGATGACAGCTTTAATTTCAGCTTTTTAACTGGGTGCTTACTGAGAGTCTGAAATAAATCTTTGCTGGTTAAATAAGAAACTGAACTTTCTTTAGCTTTGAAAGAACAAGAACACTTGCTTCTTCAACTCAAATGGTCAATGAATCCGGAGTGGTGGAAATGGGTGCCAGCTGTCATCCACTATGGTAGCACAGCCGATCCCAGAGAAGCTGGCGGGAGCCCTGGGAAGAAAGGCAGGCACCCTGGAATGGCTTCTCCTTGAGAGAGGGGCCCAAGAAAGGGGTCTGTGATTTGGAAAGCATTGTGGTTCCCGTGGCATCCGGTAAGCTCTCGCTGGTCCTTGCTCAGGTATTCTTAGGTGACTAAGAATCTATATGGGGTTGCCTGAGGAGAAATTTCCTCTAGAGCATAAAGCAGTCCTATAGGGATATCCACCACATTTGGCTCACTTGGATATGTGCACTTAAGCTTTTCCCTAGAAATTTGTTCAGATTCTACAGCTACCAAATTAATATGGAAAATCGTGTTTCCTGGGCTAACAAGACCCACCACAGTCAGCCTGTCATTTATAACTAAGATAGCAGAGATGAGGATCCTTTGATACTTCTAAATTTTTGCATGCACAATTAGAAAAATTAGGCAGGATGAATGGAAAACATATTTAATTGGTACTTAAAGCTTTAAAAAGAGGATTTAGATAAATGGATCAACCTATGATGTCATTTAGGTGTCAACCCAATTCTTTGAGGTATTAAAATGATTGTCCTTATTTTAAAAGGAAGAAGGTTATTTGGAGCTTGATTTTTCAAGGACAGATATAAATTATAAATGCCTCCAAAACAAAATTTGGATCCAACTGTTCTCTGTGTCTATTGGCGTGGTCTATAATGCATATTGTAAATGTGAGATAATTTTCTACCTCTGGATGGTGTTATTAAAATTAATTTAAAGGCAAGTGCTTGTAAGAATTGGTTATTCTAAAATTCTCAGAAATATATAAACTTACTCAGATGCTTTTCAAGTTCACGTGATCTAAGATTAATCCTTAGTAAATGAAAGCTCGCTTAAGTTTGTTGGTTTAAGTAAAAACAAACATGTCTTAATTTTGCCTTGGTTTTAAAAAAATAAGTCCATATTAATAGTTGACTTTATGTCTATGAAAAAAGTTTTGGAGGTTATAAAATGTCCAAGCTAAAGAATGCTAACTTATTACTTCTCAGTTCTCATTAGACATTGAAATTTTAAGGGTTAAAATGTCAAACACATGCTGGGAAACGTTTAGGGTATATTGTATGGGTAAACAACAAACAATGGTTGTGAATTAAACAAGTAGTTGGGGCTATGAGAAACCTAAGTTGGCTGCTTGGCTCTCCCCTGTTCCCTGGCCCCTGTTTTTTAGTTTTTGCATCCCTTCATGTATCATAGTGCATTTAAGCTGGACTTAGATATGAAGTCAGAACTGATGAACTGACATGATTGAAAGGAGACATCTTACATTATTGCCAAGGTTTGATAGATTCACTTCAAGAAAATGCCAAGTTGGTAACTGCTTCCTTTCACAGGGAGCTCCCAGGAGCCAGAGACTTTAAAGATCTCTGACTGCCTCCTGGAGATT